CCCACAAAACTAAGTACCTTATTAGACTAAGTTCGTGGAGGTCAGAGCCTTCATTTCTCATTCCTACTGCAAAATGACTTTGCACATGGCAAGCACCTCAGAGGTAAATACTTGTATAAGCTGTACTGAAGTGAATTAACTTTATGGAGGAAGTGGGGAGCAGTGCAGACAGAATGCTAGACTTAAGAGTCTGGGGATCTGAATATTACTCCAAACTCAGGCAGTTACTAGTTAGGCAAATATGGCAAGTTATTCAACCTTTCAGAGCCTCAGTTTCCTCATCTGTAAATCAGGTATACTGACCTCACAGGTATGTTATGAGGAAGTGTTTTTCCAACCTTTAAGAGCTTACAGAAATGTGAATTTGCTGTGTTGTCATTGTTATTGACTGAGCTAGGTCTTTAGTGAAACTGATACCTTGATTGATCTGTAGCCCTCATCAGGGAAACTTCCACAAAAGGGACCTCCCCCAACCTCCTCCATTACCCCATTTCCCATGAATTAACACCTTTTCCAACCAGCCCTTTTTTCCATGTCTTTTGTCTGTGTGTTTATGACTGAGAGCTCCTGTTTCATCCTACTTCAGAGAAAAAACAAAAGGTGCTCAGTTCTAAATGACCTTCAGCGTCCTCCAGCCACTGTTCCCAAGAGGCAAGTGCAGCCCTAGTAGAGAACTCTATCCTCTCTTCCTTGGCAACACCCCCAGATTCTGAACTCAGACCCACTCTGGAGATGGGTCTGCTCCCTTACAGAGCTCAGAATAACAAAAGAATCAGAAATGGGAGTTTCTCCTGAGTAGTTTTAACATTTTAAACAGTATTACTGAATCCTGTAATTAAGTAATAAAGTCAGAGACACTGTTTTGAAAGAGAAGTTACTAATGTGCTCTTTAAGTTTAAATAGGAGAGTCTGTCCACTATATATGTCACAGATTTCTTTCAGTTGCTTAAACTACATTTACAACCCAAGCAGGACTAGGAGACTAACGTTAGTATTCTGGCAGCAGTAATTAAGAATCATGGTAACCTGAATGCTGCTGTAAAAGCAGTAGTTCAAAAGGCATAGCTGCCAGGTGGCCATTGGTGACTATTTTTTTTTTAAAAAGCACAGGCCTTGGCACAGTTCTGTTATCCATGGCTACTCAACTGCTAAGTGCAACTCCTAGACAAAACAAACATCAGGACAAGTCTTAAGCACAAGTTTATACCAAGACCAGGTCTCCCTTTCATACAGTAACTGAGTGAGGTCTAATTATAATGCAGGGAGTGCCCTTGCATTCAGGACTTTCCAAACGGACCTGAGCAGAGAGGTGAGCCAACTCTATTCCCTGAGACTACTGCCTGGCTGGTCTTCAAGGGCCAATGGAGGGGGGAAGGAAGGAATGAATTGCCAAGGCTCTTTTAGAAGAGGTGAGCTGGACTGGGCCCAAAGATTCCACTGATCTCAAGATTACAGTTCATTTGGAAAGTTTTGAAAGCAATGCTCCTTTTTTATTTTTATTTTTTGCCAGTGACAACTTCTACTCCCTTGACCCTAATCATAATCAACAAATTGATGCTTGGTTATCACTTTTAAGGGATCACTCACTGGATGTATTGAAACGGAAAAAAGCTTTAGGCTGCATTTTACTCATTTGAAAGAGGGCGGATAAGTTGCTGTTTTAGGGCTTATATGTATGGTTTTTCAAGTTTGTCTTTTTAAAAAAAAGATCAATATGGAGTATGAAAGCTTGAGTTAGGGGACCTTTGCTTATACCATAAAGGCCACTAGGTGGCGCAGTGGACAGAGAGATAGAAATGCTGAGTCTGGAGTTAGGAAGACCGAAGTTCAAATGTGGCCTCAGACACTTACTAGCTCTGTGATCTTGGGCAAGCCCTGTTTCCCTCAGTTTCCTCATCTGGAAAATGAACTGGAGAAGCAAATGGCACACCACTCCAGTATCTTTACCAAGAAAACCCCAAATAGGATCATAAAGAATCAGATACAACCAAACAACAAGAAGGCACTTAATAAATGCTTAAAAAGAGTCAGACACAACCAAAAAAAAAGAAGGCACTTAATAAATGCTTATTTTCTCTTCCCTTTCCCTATTCCACATTCGTAGCTTTTAGAGTCTTGTTAATAACAAAACTATAAAAATTCACTTTCCTCCTTGATGACTAGGAATGATTTAGAGAGATACTAAAAAATGACATTACATGCTTGTTCATTTTTACATTTTCATAACTTCATCTAACCTTCTGTAATTGAAATGGCCAAATTAAATCTTGTTTAATATCATCTTGCATGACTGCTGCACCATATTTTCCAACACTTCTTGAATGAGTCACCTGACCCAAATTTGGGGTTTGTAACAGCAATAATTTTAGTCAAGGCTGTCGTATCTCAATTTGGGATAATTTTTTCTTAAAATAAAACAAAAACGAAAAACAGGCTTTTAGAGCACAGTTTAGAATGCATATTTACTACTTGACATAGATATTTCACAGCACATTTACTACCTGACAAGAGAACTCCTTGAGATCCAGGAACTACTTTTCACAAATAATTTCTCTTTGGATGGTCTAAATAAACGTGCTTGTACTTGTCACTGTTAGGTTAAAGGAACAGTTATTACAATACCAACTTGGACTTTTTTTAAAAGCCTTCAATTCAATTAGTCACTTTTTCATCTGTAAAATGAAGAGCTGGGACTAGATGACCTTTCAAGGTTTCTTACAGCTCTGCGTCTATGACTGTAGGAAGCATAATTTAAGACAAACTAGGAAAAAACAGAAAGCACATAATGGGAAAGCCAGGGGATACAGTGAGGACAAGAGGATGGGAGAGATGTGGAACTAGGGGAAAGCAAAGGGAACCTAATTTACAAATGGTCAGGCTTCAAGTTTTTCCAGATTCAGTCACGTTCAGAAAAACTGTAAATGTTTACTGGATGTATTTTCTAACTAGGTACTTTTTAAAAAAAAATAAATAACCTTTATTTATTAAAATGTAAACAAAAAGCAACTGTAGCTATGATGTTAAAGGTCAGCCAAGGTAACCATGTCCAAAAAACAGGTTAATCTCGAAACTTCCTTTTCATTTCTGTGTTTGGTGTCCCCTTTGGCAGCCCATAAAAACAGTGTAACAATCACTCTAAGATACAGAGTTCAACGGCTACCTGGAATGATGGACAGCTAGAGAACCCCTAGAAAGCTTAGTTGTCAGCTCCTTCCTGTGTCAGAGAGGGAAAACCACCCACTGCAAGCCTCAGTTTCCTGGGCTTTGCCAAGTCTCAGCCAACCACAGTTATTCCATGCCAAAAGCTTGTATCAAGTGGTCACTTTGGAGCTGCTGAAAGTGAATTTTTAAAGCTTCACGAGAAACTTTATACAAATTCAGTAATGATATATATTTTAAAAGTCAGTGTTATTAAGCTCTACCACATAGATCTTTTTACAGGAAAATCTCCCCCCGCCATAAGAAATTATACATTGTGGAACAAATATTTACATAATTAAACTGGGGATATTCTTGAAACAGATAACAAAAATAGACTTTAAAAAGTCACTGCCAGCCTAGAGAGGTGTTGAGAAATTGCAACTCCCTTCCTTCTTGTAGCAGAGGTGAGGGCCTGTGGGGGAAGATAACCATATGCTGTCTGATAGGATTGATATGTTGATTGATTGTGTCAATCTGCTTTTCCCTACTTCTTTCTTATTTAAATCTTTGTTATGAGGATGGCTCACTGGCTAGCAAGCGGAGAAGGATATACCTAGAAATAATAGAGATGTAAAAACAAAATATATTTAAATGAAATAAAATTAAAGTCTCTTCCAGAAAAATATAAAAGTCTTGGAAAGAGATAGATTTGATTTTAAGGGACTGTGTTTGAATCACAGTTCTCTCTCTTATTTCCTTGAGCCAGCCACAATTCCTCTGGGCCTCAGTTTCTCCATTTGTAAAATGGAATGGGGGGGGAGAGTTGGACTAGGTGTCCTTAAAGGTCTCTATCAGCTCTAAATCTATGATTCTATGAAATTGAACTACATCCCTTCCCCAGGAAAAAATCTTAGGCCAAGTCACTCAATCTCTCAGTACCTCAGTCTCCTCTTCTAGAAGAGAGGTATGATCATAACACTTGCCCTATGAAACTCACAAAGTTGTTATAAAGATAAAAGTACAGACATGAGACAACTTTGAAAGTCTCAAAACTCTCCATGAATCCTCTGCACAGGATCCTATACATGCCAGGTGATTAAAAAGTTTTTGCCGCTATTGGACAAGTGTGGTGACCCTATTAGTTTGAGATTCAGCTAGCACAAGCTTCTGAAGTAGGAATTTTAGTATAGGTAAGTTAAAAAAGGAATAAGAGTAGATTTCATAGCTGGAAGGGACATTAAGAGATTATTATCTGGGACAACTGTCTTATTTTAAAGACAAAGAAGAAAAATGAAGCCCTGAGAGGTGAGGCATTTTTCCTAAGATCACATGAACTTGGGAAACAAAACCAGCTCTCTAAAGAGAGACTGCTCTCTTCTTTTTTGCCCTCAGTCCCTCTGTGATTGAGGGTCTCCCTTAGAATGGTGCAGACTTCTGGCTTTTCAAAGCATTTTCATATCTATCACCATACTTGACTTCTATAATAACCCTAATGAGTAGTTAATTCTATTCACTTTAACAAGCTTTTATTAAGAGCTTCCTATGTGCCAGGCATTGTACTCCCATAGAACTCATCTATAATCCCAGTTTGCAAATGGAGAAATCAAGACACTTGGTTATATAATTTATCCAACATCACAAAGCTACTTAACAGAAGGGCCAGAATTTATACCAGTTCTCCCAACTTCTAATCCAGTGTTTCCATATTACCTACAACCACAGAGAGCAATGAAAACAGGTATTCTTCATTCCAAGTAAATCAGAGAAGCAAAATTTCAAATATACATAATGGATGAATGAAGAAACAAATTCATTTTTCATTATCTGAAATCTATCATTTAAGGGACCAGAAGGTATACCTTGATTTCTGTTAGCTGCATGACTTCAGGGAAGACTTCGATACAGTTAGAGTGGGCGATCACTGTGTGCATCCGCCTGCAGTTCATGATAGTGGTTGGAATGGCTTTCAATTTGTTCCCACTGATATCGATTTCCTCCAGCTCCTCCAATTTGGCCATTTTACTATAAAGGTGAAAATCATGGAGATGGGGGAAGGGAGAGAAATCATATAGCAATTATAATTCAATTTATATAGTGCCCAATGCATGCCTGCTACTGTGCAAAGTGCTTTACACATCTAGGCTTTTCTTGCAAGCCTCTTTCGGAAATGGATTTCTCTGAGACTGATGGGAATACAGATCAAAAATCATCTTTAAAGCTGGAAGGCCTTGTTGGTTATTAAATCTAACTCCTTCATTTTACAGATGAGGGAATTGAGGCAGAGAGAGAAGCTAAGTGACTCGGTTAGTAAGAGTTGGAAGTGGGATATGAAGCATCCAGAGACTGTGCGGTTAGCGTCTCTGCCTCAAGGCTGGTGTAGCACAGCCTTCAGATGAAAGTCTTCAAGAGATAGTCGATACTTTTACACAAAAATTGATACGTGTTCTAATGTCTCCAGCCTGGGCAACGGAAATGTTATTCTTAACATCTAAATCTTTGTTCATTCAGATATAATTCCATTCTATCTACCACTATTCTGTACTGTTGCAGGGTAATTCCATCCAAGGTAGGGTCCACTTGACATTCATTCATTCCTCCATGTGGAGAACTCATCTTCCCCTAACACTATTCACTTTTCCCCTCACTCCCTCCACATTTCCCAATAATGTGGAGAAAGGGAAGAAAACTCCCTCTACCAATGCAGGTCGGTACCTTCTCTGCACCTTGTGGTCTTAGAGAATTGCCCAGGAAACAAGGAGGTTAAGTGACTTTCTCAGAATCACACAATCAATACGTGTCAGTGGCAGGACCTGAACTCAGGCCTTCCTAACTTCAAGGCCAGCTCTGTACTCACTATTTCAGGTTCCCCAATAATTACAGTTATTTATGTTAATTTAAAGCTTTTGCTTATTCACATTTATTTGATTTCTTACAATGTACTAAGTGATTCAAAGAGTCAGCAGGAAAAATTTCTAATTATCTTCTTGCTACTACCCTATCTTTCACTTTTCCACTCCAAATACGAAGCTATTTAACTGTTTCTAGAAGATAAAATGTCTTGGTTACCTAACATTTCTCCTATGGAAATTCACATTACTAACTGCATAGGTTCACAGATTTGTACAACACTGATCCAGATCCTTTTAAGTGAATGAAGCCACCCTGATACTAGGACATACTAAAAAGAATATGTGCCTGATGTAAGGGCTGGGAAATCCTACTACACTGTGAGTTACAAAACTCTTAGGAGAGCATATAAACATTACATATTAAGGGATTCAGAAAGAGTAGCAAAAATTATAAAGGTCATAGAAAATATTTCCAGGGAGAAGAAAAGCTAAAAGGCCAAAGGTCTTAAGAACTATGTTTTTAGATAGATAAATACACAGATATAGATACATAAAGTTCATTAAAGTTTTTTTTAAAATATATGAAAAATGATGCCCAGGTATTCTTTACCTCTGAGACAAGACAGAACAAGTGAAAGTGGGCTTAAAGCATGAGAAATCCCAGTTGGACTCAAGGAAGAATTCCTCCAGTTAGGGTAATTCAGATATGAGTAATGTGTTAAAGTGCTACTTCTCTGGGCCTCTCTATGGTCACCATGTGACTCTGGGTTAGTTAGAGAGACTCTGGGTATGAATCCGAGAGGTGACCACGTGTCTGCCATCTAAGGGTCAGTGGAGGCCAAGTTCAGCGTCAGTTCCTCACCAGAGGACTGACTGCCAGGCCACAGCCTTTTTCAGCAAGACCAATTTGTGAAGCCTAAGTTGTAGCGGTGCTGCAATCAGAACCACTGGAAGGAGAATGACTGATGAAACTGCAGATTCCTGAACAACTGAGGTTATTGAGTGGGTTAAGTTTCTAACACTAGAGATCTTCACTGAAAGAACAGATGTGCATTTGTCCCGAATGGCTTAGAAATTCAGTAGTGTGAAGGCAGAAGGATGGCTTGTATGATGCTATGATCCCTTCATGTCTCTTATTCCTTGACTGTATGATTTTATGACTTTAGTGTAAGATAGTATTTCTATTAGATGAGTAAGGGAACTGTGAAAAAAGGGTCATGGTCATCAATACTTAATGGTTGGCAATACCATGAAAAAGGATCTAACATATAACTCAAGCTTAAAATGAATAGAGCATCTTCCACAGTAGTAGAATACAGAAGCCCAGGCACAATTTTAATTTTGGCACAATTTAAATGCTGCAATTAAATACAGCACAATATGTTAAGACCCAAAGGATGTTTCTTTGATATGTGGGTGTGTGCAAGGTCCAAACTTGTTTAATGAGTATATCCTAATAAGAAGGTCCTACAGTAAAACTATCAGTACTGGATTCAGTATGTGTACATACTTAAAACTTTAAAAAAAAAACGTTAACATAATACTGTTGCATTTAAATGCCAGAGAGTCATAAATATCAAAGCTACAGTTCTGGTAGTAATCACAAATGATTTGAATTGTGACAAATGAGATTGCTTCTATGAATGAATTAGATAACATACTATGCCTTTGTGAACAAATACAGGAGCAGCCATATGATAGCCTTTATGTCCCTGATTTATAGTCTCATTCTCAGAAGTGGATTAATAGTTAGAAGGATGTTGGAAAAAAAAATAAACAAAAGCAGAATGTGATTAGATAAAGAAACAGATCTGTTGTTGTTTGTTTTTTGGGGAGGAAGTTCAAGATGTGTTTTCATCCGTGTGGGGAACTTCTGGCATTAGAACTCCTTCCTCCAAATTCCAGTGTGATAGTGTTGAGATCTAATCACGCTTTGATCAACCCTGTCAGAGGAGCACTATCATATGTTCTGGATAAAGTCTAGGTATAAAGCAAAGGTGCTAATCAAACTTAAATGATTAGAGGACAGAAACATAATTGGTTTTTTTTTTCTTTTTAAACATACATCTATGGTTTCTCTCATCCCTACTCTGTAGGATTGACTATATTTTAAAAAGTGTCATTAAAGAAGCAATTTGAAGGACTTCCCTTACCTTGCTGGAAAACTCTGCAGCCGATTATAGGCCATATGTAGAATCTTCAAGTGAGGGTGTCCTATTAACAAGGGCACACATTTGTCAGTGAGGTGGTTGTTGGTCAAGTACAGCTCCTGCAAGATGCTGCTTGTCTCTTCAGAAAGCGTGGCTGGAGGAATGGTTTCCAGCTTGTTGGCAGATGCATTTAGGAACCTCAAGCTGCAAAATCAGAATATAGAAATTTCTGTGTTTATCAGCAGTACACACCACCTCTCAAAGTTATTTAATCTCTTCCTAGCAAAGGATGGGGCTAAACTATATGACTTCTTCTTTTTTTTTTTTTTTTTTTTTTTAGTATTTAGGCAATTGGGGTTAAGTGACTTGCCCAGGGTCATACGGCTAGTGTCAAGTGTTTGGTCTGAAGACAGACAATAAAATCATTTTACAGTGTGAAAGATCCATCTCCATGGGAAACCAATTCCATCTTACAAGATTATTATTTTCTATGTTGCATTTTCTGAACTATTAGCAAAAATGGTTAAGCTTCATGTATAGAACATTCTAGTTAGTTCATGTTCTGTGATAACTTGCTACAGAAGCTACCTGCTGAAATAAATCTTAATTTAAGTTGAATGCTTAAATTAAAAGTTAGTCATTGTGAGAGACCATTTTACCTATCCATGCTTCCACCTCACCTTCCCAAGATTGACACTGAAGTTCTGAGTTATGCAAGGTAAATAGTTGCTTATTTTGAATAAAGCATTCTTTTTGGGTATAATAAAGAGTAAGTATTAGATTACCCTACAAGAAAATGATCAGGAATACATCAATTCTGCTATTCACTCATTATAATCATATATCTCTGTAATCTTTACTCATGTTTTCACTGAAATATTTTAATATTTAGAGAACACACATCAATTTTATATTTTGTTGACTGTCATTTTGTTTCCTGATATACTGAAAAAAAGATCAAATTTAAGATTATTTTAATACCCCTTCCTAGAACACCTTAATCTTAGTCAACTCTTATTGGGAAAAGTTCTTGTCAACTGTATAGGCAAATACAAAATGCTAAATGGATTTGGAACAAACCTCACTTTGGTCAACTAATGAAAAAGGGGGACACTAACAAGCAGAGGTTAAGGCCAGAATCAGACAAAGTAGGCAGCAGTCTCAGCCAAAACACACAATGAGAATACACAATGAAGGATATTTTAAAATTCCACTCTTCATGGCACATAAATATTTATTTTGTGTTAAGTTCATAGTAAAGGCTCAAAGCTTCCAGTGGACACTAATACACAGGAGAGTACAATTTTGAAACAATGGGATGTGAAGTTTTCAAATTTTGCCCAGGATTCCTTTTCAGAGTCCTAGTTTCAAAGTAAATTTAGAGCCTACATCAGTGATCAGAACATACAATAAAGTTAAAAATCAGAGCACCTGGGATCCTAAGAGGAACAGGGTCATTGAAAAGGGGGAGGGTATAAAGTAGTAGAGAGACATTCTTCGGATGCTCACAAGAGTCTAAGGAAAAAAGGGAAGAAAACCCACAATCTACTAGAATCTCCCCAGAAGGTTCCTGCCATCCACAGGTTTGAAATAGTGAAGTGTGAAAGCATTCCAAAGAAAAGGGCAGCATGGGGCAGGGTTTTTTTCCTTTAGGCTTTCCTTTATTTTAGTTTTTTCATTTTTATTTTTTTTTATTTAGTTTTTATTTAGTATCTTCTTAAGGCTTCACTTATACCCCAAATTGCTGGTTTGGGGGAGTGGGAAATATTCTTCTTAAAAGGACTAACACACATGGATCCTCTGTCTAAATTCCTGAACCCAAGTCTCTCCTGTCTTCCAAAATTAACTCTGACCTTTTTTGCTGGTGTCTTCAAAGAGCCTGAACTCCTTAACTATGTCTTATATGGAAGAAGGGAGCAGAGTCCCTTTTAAAAAGGGAGAGTGAGGGATGTCAATGAGGACTGTAGGTGAAAGGTAAAAGTGTATATTTATTCATGCCATCTTTATATTGCTAGGTAAAATGAAAGCTGCAGATTAAGGAGATAACAAGGCGACAATCCACTAATTTAATTATTCTCACATTACTTCTAGCACTATAGGATTTAGATGAGAAGGGACCACAGAAGTCATCCATTCCAACTCCTCAGAAGTGAGCTGAGGTCCAGTAAGAGAAGATGATATGTCCAAGGCCATATACAACACAGGCAATAAAATAGGAAGAGGCAGGATTTGAATTCAAGCCCTCTGACTCCAAATCTAATGCTCTTTCCACTACATCATAACCACATTTAGGGAAAAAGCAGCCTTCCCAAAATAGAACAATTCCCACTAGTGAAACATTTATTCAGATGACTTGAAGGAAAAAAAACAAATAAGGAAGCTTGAAAAGGCTACACAGACCATAAAAAAACCATGGGAAATCATTATAGTAGAGCATGCTGTGGTGGAAAAAACAAACTTGCACTGATACAAATTCTAAAATTGGCCTCAAAGCGGAATGAGATTAACTTCATCATCCCTTTGTCCTGAAGACTGAGCACATATAATTTTCTTTAAGTTCCCATGCTACTTACTATACAAACCATGCCAACTAAAAACTAAAAACCAAGAATAACTAAGAACAAAATAATCAACCTTTGTTTTGTCCTAAATTTGAAGCACTCTGAAACATCATGGAACCAGACTACTTGGGGAGAAGGGAAATCCATAAAAAATAGCTTTAAGATAAACTGATTAGGACATATGGAGTTGGATGGAAAGAGAATTATTTTAGGCAGTTAGGTAGAACAGTGGATAGAGCACTGGCTCTGGCATCATGATGACCTGAGTTCAAATCTGGCCTCACACTTACTAGCTCTGTGACCCTGGACAAGTCACTTAACTTCTGTCTGCCTCAGCTTCCTCAACTGTAAAATGGGGATAATAACAGCACTTACTTCCCACAGGAATGTGAGAATCCAGTAAGATAATATCTGTAAAGCATTTTTCACACAGTGGCTGACACACAGTAAGTACTTAATAAATGTTGATTTCCTTTCCCTTAATTTTAAAAAGGAAAAAAAGATAAACAGATAAACTGAAGGATATTTGGAAAACAATGCAAACACTGACAAAAAGATACCTCCCTAGCAGACTACTAAAAGAATTTACAAATATTTCACAGCTTCTGGATGAAAAAAGTAAACTTATTTTGAAAAAGATTCATAGTCCTATCATGTTGATACTTGCCCACTACAATTATGTAACTATGTATTCTCTTTATGAAAAATGGAGGGGAGGGGGAGCCCCCTCCAGGAAGTGAAACTAGGTTAGCTAGCTTTTGGTCAGCCAATTCCAGAGGACTTCATTTGAACTGAATAAGCCTGCCTTAATTACTGCTCCTTAATAGTCAAAGGAGCACACCATTGACCTGAAAGAGAGCAGTGATTACAATGTTTTTGAAAACCCCAATATCGTCCATCCCTTGGAAGTACAAAATGCTCTCCTCCTCACATCTTTGGTAGCAGACAAACTAAGAAGATTTAATGGTCTATCACATATAACTAATTTGCTGGAATAAACAAGTCCTTTTTATTTTGAACTCACCAAAACCAAGTATTGCTCTGTTAAACTTCATCTAAACCCCTACTTCATGTAAGTTTCCTTTCTCTCGAAGTCCCCCCCAAAAGTCCTTCACCCTACTTTGAAGGGTATTTTGGACTTAATTCATTGTGAAGTAATATCCATAACCTTAACTCCTCCCTCACAATGGCTACTAGAAACAGCTTCACGTGCCAAGAGTTGTGTCCCAATCACATCAGCCTACCCCACTTTTGCTAAAATTAAATATAAAGCCTTAAAGCCAACTTGTAAACTAATCTAAAAGGAAAAAGCAGCCACATTCCAGCACACTAGTGCTTGTAACAGGCCAAAATGATAGGGTGACTCTAACTTTGAAAAAACCAGGGTATCTATCTATGACGTAGTAGATACAGAATCTCACATCAATTACTCAAGATTCAGCTGTGGCCCACAAGGTTATAAAAGAGGAAAAATGCTTAATCCAGTCAAGTTTAATACTGTGGTTTCACAAGCTTTACATCATCATCATAAAATATTTACTGAGGGCCTACCAAAGATCTCTAGTACTTCTGAAATTCATGGCAATGGATTCTTACCAGCACAAAGCCCTATGTAATGTTCTTTTTCCCATCCTTTTTTTCCCATTATTATTTGTATATTTAAAAAAGCTAATTTTTTTTCCCTGAAGGACAGTTTTATAGTCCTCTATTGCCTCGGGTCAGCTGATGTATCACTTAAATACTATTAAGACCAGTGTTTACCACATATAAATAACTTCATAAATTGTATGGTACTCACCTCCAAAAAAATCTGCTTAGCAAAAAGTGTGACATTTCTTACACTCAGCACACACACAGACACAGTTCCTGCCCTGAAGCATTTGGAAAACAGCCAGCAACAACAGCAATGAGACAAATCCATTTCCTGCTTTCTGAGTCTCTGTATTCTTCTTCCTTGGCACATTCTGTTCATCTGTTCTGGCTCATGGAGATTTTCCTTAAGTAGTTTACCACTCTTGCTCATTTTAAAATCTCAGGGCTAAATCCTATCCTTTACTTTCCTGACAATATAGCCTTCTCTACTTTTCCCACCACCAACAGTGGGTAGGATGTGAAGCAACAGAATTTGGTTTAACATTTTACCAAATTGACCTATAAACATCAGGGTTATCAAACATTCCATATAGATGGGAATGTCTTCAATTTCAATTTAGTGCTGTTTCGATGATGGTCTTATAGGGGGCAGCTAGGTGGATAGAGCCATGCACCTGGAGTCAGGAAGACTTCTCTTCCTGAGTTGAAATCTGGCCTGAGACACTTACTAGCTGTGTGACCTTAGGCAAATCACTTAACCCTGTTTGCCTTGGGTTCCTCATATGTAAAATGAGCTGGACAAGGAAATGGCAAATTGTCCCAGTATTTTTGCCAAAAACAAACAAACAAAAAACACCCAAAAGGGGTCACAAAGAGTCAGACATGACTCAAAAAAAAAAAAAAAAGACTAAACCTATATTTTGGCTCTGATAAGACTACTATTTTGATATCACCTCTACCTTATAGGGGTAAGAGAATATAATATATACCTTAAAAATCTAAATCTTAGAGATAGTAAACTTCAAATTAGCAAAATTTCTATATTAGCCA